AGGGAGGTAGGAGCCTGGGGCCTGGGGTGCGGGGGGCTGCGCCCGGCTCCCGCGGGTCTGGGGCGGGGCGGGGCCCTCCGTGGGCTCAGCTGGGTCTGGGCCCCCTGGGGGTGACAGGGCTGCGGCCGCTCGCTAGGTCCAGCCCCAGCCTCTCTGGGGAAACCCCCTTCCCGGCGAGGGTGCTCCGCGGGGACCCGGAGGGGCGACTAGGACCGAGGCGCCGGCGCCCCTGACGGGAGCTCGGGTCGCTGCGGCCAGGTCGGGGCTCGGGCACAGCGCCGGGGTCGCTTTGGTTCACACGCTCGAGACTTCCGTTGCCCTACCCCCGTGAGCGCAAAAGCACAAGCGGGCAAGCGTGCGGGGCGGGAGGCTGGGGCTCCGCAGACCGGCCGCCTCCCGAACCTCCCCCCACCCCCAGCCAGCCGCGCCGCCAGCCTGATTGCCCTCGCGAGGCGCGGGACACGCGTTCTCGGGCGTCGGGAGCGGAAGGCACGAAGCTTGTCGCTCTCGAAGCAAGACTGGCTTTCCAGCCCCAAGGATGCGCTTCAGGAGGCCATTTGGGCGTGGCTGAGCCTCGGGGACCGTCCCACCCGACGCCCCTTCTCCTCTCGGCCCCGATTGCTCCCTGGGGTCCGGGCGGTGGCGCCGCCCTCCCGGGCGCACCTCTGGCCTCGCTCCTCGCTGCATCCAGCAGAGCGAAACCAGGCTCCTTAGAGCGCCTCCCTCCGCCTGCTGTGCCTGGATGCTATATGCGAGCTCAACCCTGAAAGGAAAAACAAGTTGTTGATACCTTTTTAATTATTTCTGAGAAATATTCATTCTCCAGTCCTTGTGTTTATTTACTCTCTGAAATCTGAATAAAATGGCGTTTAAGTCTATGATGCAACCTTCTGAAAACCACAAGCTACGAGATTATGATTACGCACAAAACCTAAAGAAAATGGGTTGTCTATGATGTGTGTGAGAGATTTACTACTTAAACACATCCTTGCCTCCTTTTATAAATTCAGTTTCTCTGAAGGCAGTACGTCACGCTTCGTGTTTCCTTGGGCTAAGAGAGAAGAGGTTAAGCTTGGGAAGTGATTTGCTGTCTGTCTTTGAAAATTCGAACAAGTCATGTGCTTCTGCTCCCAGTTCTGTAAATCTGAAAGGGAAATAGATGACCCTTCTCTCTCCAATTTTGTGTTATAGGAAATATTCAAACACACACAAAAGTAGAAAAAATAAGCTGCTCCCAGATGACTATCCCCCAACTTCCACAACTCAGTACTTAGTCTAATCTCATCTCTGAGCCCACCCATTAGAAGCCCCCTTTTTCCAGTAAAATTTAACTTTCACACGTGATTTTTCATGTGTCAACATTTAACACATTCATATAACAACTATTAAAGTAACTACAAGCGTATCAGATGATATCTAAAAACTTAAATATAATTTCATTACTGAGATGCTCAGATCTGACATGTCCTTTCAAGTCTTTTTTGCAAAATCCATACCTTAATGTAGCCCATGCCATTTTGAAGGCATAGACCATTTTCATCACCCAGAAAAATTCCCTTGTATCCTTTTAAGTTGTGGATATTCTGACAACTTAAATTTACTTTCAAATGGGATCATATGACCTTTGTCTCCTGTCTTTCTGAATTCTTTTACACAGCATGTTGTGTGAGGTTTGCTCATGTCATTATATAAATTAAAAGTTTCTCTTCTTGCTTTTGATCATTTCTTTTCATTGTGCCAATCATACATCTTGCCCATGGTGACCCCTCACACCCCTGCACCTTGGTAGAATACAACAACTGTAATTTAATACATCATTTCCTCCAACATATTTATACTTTCACAGGGACTTCCTCAAGATCTAGTGTATTAAGTCGAAGGAAATAAAATGGCACGCATTTCCGATCGGTCCCATTATAAGACCTGAGAGAATTGTTTGGGGATGGTTATGATTCTTACAGCAGTGTAACTCCACATCTTCCTACGGGCCTTTATGTTTCACAAGACATTAATGTACTGTGTCATTACATCAGGAGCAGTGGGAAAGTTAAATTTTATGCAGTTTCTATAGACAGAGAATCCTCAAGGCTGAGATCACTTCCCTCTCAAGAGGCAGAGCTGTAATCTAACAGGAACTCTTCCAAAACACATCATTTTCCCTGGAATCGGCAGTTACTTTCGGAAGCCACAGAGATTGGGGGTAGCATAGGGCAAGGAGGGAGAAGGTGGGACCCAGCTGTGTTAGACATAGACTTTGAATTTGAAGGTGACAATGGAAATCAAGAATTCATGCTCTCACAAAACCATGCCGTCATAATTGAAACTTTTTTTTTTTTTTTTTCTGTATCAGGCTCCTTACCTGGGGAAAATTTCTTTCTACCCACTCTCTCCCTCTTCCCTTTCCTGAAAAGAATTAAAAATAAATGAAAGAGAAACTTGTAAAAATGTTGCCATTTTGAGTTATAATTCTGTTTTACTCTTCCTAGTCCTTGAAGCACCTTGAATATGTTAAGCACTCAATGAACTTTTAATTATAAATAATATCAGTAATGATATTGCTTATGTTCTACCTGTATCCACCTAGCTCTGTATTTTTAAGAAGCCAGTGCTAGTCAAGGACAAAAGCAACTGGTAGGTAATAAAGTCATTTTCTTGCTCTTTTCATCAGTGACAATGCAGCCCTGTAGTATGTCCAAATTTAACTTTGAAATTGAAAGTAATTTTAAAATTGAAATAAAGAATGTGGAAGCCAGCCAAATAACTCAGCGGATTAAATCACCTGCAAGCAGGCACAGGCGCCAGGGTTCGATCCCAGGGCCTGCCATGCTGGCCCTACTCCCTGGGCGCCGTGAGATGGCAATTGAGTCTGGGCGTGGTGGTGCACACTTGTAATGCCAGCTCTTAGGAGGCTGTAAACAGGTGGATCACTATGAATCCAATCTAGTAGTGAGACTCTGAACACCCTGTAGACTGGTCCCTAAAAAAATACAAAAAATAAAAAAAGACCCCCACTGTCTGGGCATGGGGAGATAGCTCAGTAGAATGAGTGCTTGCTTGGCAATCACAGGGTCCTGAGTTCAACTCCCGGTACCACAAAAAAAAAGAATGTGGAAGAGTGGAAAGCATTACTGAAGTGCACATTTTGTAAATAAGTACCACAAACATGTTTGATTCTTCCACTGATAGATGAAATTTAAATATTGTATCATGCATTAAAAAATAAAATTGCTCTATCTGCAATTACTCTAGTAATGTAGCATAGATGAATAGTCTATGAAGTGAAGGCTTAACCCACACTTGCTTTGTTTTCCTTGTAAAGCAGCTAGATTTTCATTTATGCTGAGTGGCAAGCTTGTGCTATGGAAGACAGAGTGCAATGATGTGAAAACAAGGAAGATGCCCAAAGTGATTAAAGAAAAAGAATTGATTTAATGAGTGAGAGAAACTCAATCTGTGTTTGGTTAGCATTGCACAATTGTTGTGAGCACAAGAGGTAATTTAAGGCTGAATCTCAAAGCCCCTGCTTTGTATCCTCCCTGTGTACCATGCCATGACTTCCAAAATTGTAAGAAAGACTTGAGCTCCTTTAATCTCCATAGACTTCTTCTATAATGTCATGGTGACCACAGGAATGAAAGCCTAAAGCATAGTTTTAGGATGGTGCTTTGCATGATTTTTGAAAGATTGAGATAAAACAGTAGGATTAATCCAAATAAACATGAACAACAATGACAGGAGGTTTAATGTCTGTCTTACCGTTCTTGTTGCTGGGACAAAATACCTGATACCCAAAGTTAAAGAGGAAAGGTTTGTTTAGCTCACAGTTTATAGAGATTTCAGTCCAAAATCAGTTGGCTCCAAGGCAGGGTGGCACATGACAGAGGGGCAGCAGTTCATGGCGACAGAAGACAACAAAGGCAACCAAGAGAGGGGACACTCTTTCTGTCCCCTACAGTGTATGTAGGATGCTCCCCACTAGGGCAGTGCAGCACTCACACCCTTAATCCTCACACTAGACCATGAGCCAGTCACACACTCTAGATTTAGCCACCTCTGAAAATCCCATGCCCTGCATGAGGCTTTGGGGAGACATCCAGACACAAACCATAATGGTGTCCAAAGAAGTCCCTATAATTAAATTCCATGAACAACTCCATGCTGTTTCTATAATCTTATATGCAGCAAAATAAAATGAAGAAAGAGGAGGAGAAGCAAGAGAGATAGCAGCAGTACAGAACTATAAACACGACTTTAGGAAAATGCCATGTGAACTTGTGTGACCTTAAAAGTGTGAAGATATTTAAGATCCAAAGATCAAAGACTTTACAGCTCAAGCTGGTGTGGTGGCATGTACTGTGATCCCAGCACTGTGGCAGTCTGAGGCAAAAGAATCACAAGTTTGAGCTCAGTGTGGACAATTTGGTGACCTACCAAGATCAAAATAAGAAATAGAAAAAGGGTTAGAAGTGTGGCTCTGTAAAAAAGTAATTAAAAAGAAAAAAGATGTAGTGTGAAAGTTCACACTATAGTATGAAGGTTCTCGGTTCAATCTCTATTACTATTAAAAAAAAAAAAGAAATCTGAAAGTCAAATAGCAAAAAGTGTAATTATCTTACAATCTAAAATTTAAAGGGAAAAATATTGACAATCTCTCCAAATGC